ACTTTTTGCAAGTAGGAATTGTAGTTTTTATTTTTGAAGGTATATCATTTGTATTCTTCAGCCCAGCTAATTCTGAAACCTTTTTGCCTTCATCTTGGAAAACAGGCTGTACTTAAGGTTAAATGATTAGTTTGCCAAATACTCCAGGCTGCAAGCCCTGGATAGTCTTAACATTAATAGCAAAGAAGGTACAAATATTTAAGATACTAAGTCTTGCAATTAACAGGTTTGCATCCAAGACACTTTCATATTCTGGATATTTTTTCATAAGTGTCAATTATTGGTTATTTTAGATGAAAATCGTATGTTATTTTCAGGACCTTGATAACTATATGTGGTAATTATTTATAAGACATCATAAATAGAAATCCTGGTAAAATTCTGTTTTGGCAACTGGATCCTGGCACAGCTCCACAGTAGATCAAGTATCTGCAGATTTTCTGTTGCCAAATTTCACTCACTCCCAAATTTGTCTTAATCTTTATTTGCCTTATATATTGAAGAGGAGGGGGGAGCTACGGGACACATATCATGGCCTTGAAGATCACGTCAGAAATCAGGAAAAGGCATGGAAGTGGTTTTTAATAAGCCCATCCATCACTGCAAAACTGCCCTTCCACATTCTTTGATTTCTTTCGATTTGGCAAATATTGTCTTATGTTCTATGGGACTCTTTTCTGCTGAATCTTCTTTTGATAGAGTCCTCACTCACCTTGCTTTTGCCCTTTATCCTCGGGGACTGGATTTCTTTCAATTTCTTTCAATCCTTTTACAAAAGAGAGGAGTGTAATGTTTCCTCTCTTTCCTTCTTTTATTTGCTTGGAAAATGGCCATCCAGCCCTATAGCTGCAAGGTCTGTTATTCTGTGATTTCAGAGTTCATCCTGACACGCTCTTGCTGCCAATCCCAGTAAAACAAATGTGAAAACAAAGTTCTTAATGGCTGGCTACAAATTTACCTGAGCCAACTTGGACAGTCTTGCTTCACTGAGCAACCAAGAGCTCCAATTATTTATGGTCTCCTGTGGAGCCACAGCTTCTCCCTCCATACTGACCTGTCAGGTGAAGACTGATTTGTTAAAAGCAACACCAGTTCTGTGCAGAGAAGGAAGCTGCTGTGATGCATGTCATCTCTATCAGCTAGAAGAGTACTTCAGCTGCTGGGGAATTTACTTTGGCATGAAACCAGATCCAGCCCACCTTATGAGCAAGAACATATACACATTCCTGCATGCATCTCCACACCTCCAACAGACTGGCACACTTTTACATATATGTATTCCTGTGCATCCTTGAGGAAAACAACAGCTTTTGTGTCTCTCTGTGTGTGTGAAAATTGACATGGTTTCACTAATTGTTTTAATTCTATCAAGTAATTAGGTGGTCTTGCTCTTTGTTTTAGGGTTTTGACATGTAAAAAAATGGGAAACTTCAATGGAACATTTCTAATGTTTAATATGATGGGCTCCATGAAGGCAAAGTGATCTATTTGATGGTTGAATTTAAGCCCCAGTTCTGCAAAGCCCGTAACCATTTGCTTACCTCTGAATACATGACTAGTCCCACTGATGTCAGTGCAATAAAATTGGAACACGAGACAGGGTCCTTCTGTGGTACCCATTATTATAACATAAACTAGAAAGCAAAGTCTATCTTCTCTAATGTATAACATTTCTATAGGTGTATTTCTTTTCATTTGGTGTTATATTTAATTACTTATCAACCCTGCTTTTTATAAAGCTTCATGTTCCTTTTAAAATGAGTGTTTAATATCAAAGTGAAGCAGAAGTAATTTTACAATTTAAACTGTAAAATAATTACCCAGTTATTGACAACCAACAATCTTTCTTTAGGGTGCAATGGATTAATATAGCTGATACATGTAGTAAAATGAGAACACCAGAGCAGAAATACTAACTCAAAAATTTTTTATTCCTTGTGCAATGTAGGATTATATTGCTACAGGGGTAGTGTTGTTTCATTTTGACACGTGGCTGTGCAGTGTGGGCAATCATTCATATCAACAGGTACCTTTGAGATGGATTCTCTCTCGCCTTGTAGCTATACTTAGCTATGGACTGACGACTTACCTATACTTAGAATGAAAAGTATAGCTAAGTCCTATACCCTCAGACTCCTTCCCGCTGCAGGCTCTTCTTCAGCACAATAGCTTGAAATGCTGTTCTGCTCAGCATCATCCAAGTACAGATCAAGCTATTTTATCTGAGGCCTCCCATTGCTCCTGACACAGGCTGGAAATAATGGCCAGGTTTATTGCTGTGTTATTATTGCTCTAAGGTCAGGCTCCCGGCTCTTTCATCCGTTCTCCTCCACTCTCTCATTCTTTCATTTGTTCATCTTGACCCAACTCACACTTGTGAACTACATTGCATTTGTTAGATCAAGAGGCTGCCTGCCATGCCTCAGAGCATTAAGTAGGGCAGTGGTCCTTAGGGTAAATGGAGCATGGTATGGAGAAATAAACGTTATTCTCTTCAGCCAAGACTGAATGTGCATGTTGTATCTGTTGAGCACATCTCTGACACTGATTTAACAGTTCTTTCTTAATATGTATCAGGTACATCCTCCCTCTTTTCCACTGCCAAGGCACAAAAGTTGAAATCACACCATGCAAAAGTTCAAATGTACTTCATTCTGTCCCACTTAGGTCACAGCTTTGTGCAGTGCTACCAGGTGAATCTTTAAACTCTTTTTTAAAGTAGCATTTTGACATTTATTTTCTCTACCTGGAAGCATCATGATGAGAAAGATGTACTTTTTCAAGCTGCAACTACAGTTCTCTAGTAGTTTTAGGAACACTTAGCAATTTAAAAAGACCTATCAGATGGAGTTCCTCTTATCACAAGAAATGCTTTAGCACACCCCACCCTGGTATAAACATGATAATTTTCAAAGCAATCCAATGGATTTAGACATCTGGTGTATGCTTAAGTCTGGTTTTGAAATTCCCAGGGGAAGCTATGGACAGTATGTGTACACAGGCACAGCAATAGATGGTCCAGAGACAGGTCTCTCCAGGGACTGCTGTGAGATTGGGCAAGGATCAGCATCAGTGACGTTGCCAGGCACTTGGCGTCTCTCCATGGTTTCTGATGGTATTCTTTTTAGAAGTCAGACTCTCTGTGTGGTCTTCTGTAAGGAAGCCAAGAATGGTGTTGATCTACAGAGCATAACCAGATTATAAAACCAAGTAAATCTCCCTGTCTGCTCCAGCACATTAAGGAGAGAGGCTAATGGGCTCAAGCCAAGGCCACAGCTCCTCAAGTCCTCTGGTCACATCAGGATCTTTGTTTCACTGGACCTTTTTTTAAATAAAAAGTTTTGAGGGTTATGAAGAAAAAATGAAACAAGTTCTATGCTTCCTGCTGTGGTGTCAACCTGAGATCTTCAGAGTGGCCAAGAGCATAAGTGTTGCCTCCTACTAATGTCTCCTTACAAAGCTGGCCAGCTTTGACAATATCCTGCAGACAGTTGATGTGCATGCGGTCTTCCTTGAGGCATGCTAATGCTTTGGACATGTTGAGATGTACAGATATCTTGTGTGTCTTGTGCCTAAGGCAGGATTAGCCAAGTTGATAATGGCTTGAACTGGAAGCCTGACCCTCAAGGGTGCCATTGGGACAGAGTACGGACATGCCACCTGTTTCAGCTCTGTCTTTCTAGATGGCAACTCTGTTGTTACCTTCTATTCTCTGGAGGGGAGAATAGTTTCTGCTGCATTTTCCGGAGAGTGGGAAGGAATTGCCGTATTGCTGCTTGTGCCTTACTGAGAGCACACGCTGCTCAAAGCAGGGCAGTATCACCCAAGATGGAGACACAGGGAGAACCTCAGTTGTAATGAGTCCCAAGCACTCGAGATCAAAATGACCAAGATGATGCAGCCCAAGTGAAAATTACTTTTGAGATGGGCTGAAATCCTGAGGAGTAACAGCAGCCATCTCCTTGCTTTCGGAGATCTCTGTGAGGAGGCTTCCTCCCTGCTGCAGCTGGTGTTTTTCCTGATCTCCTCCTCTACTGCAGGCACCGTGGTGCCTGGAAGGGGAGCAGTCACTTTATGGTCCACCATGGGATTCCCCAACACCATACACTGGTGATGAGTTTGGCTGTGTAAAGATACTGTGGCCATAAAATGTATTCAAGGCCATATTGTGACACTATTAAACACATTAGACGAAAGATCATTGAAGTTTGAATCATTGTGACCTTGGGTGGGGATAGGGAAATTTCTCTATTTTTGTATTTGCGGACTCCATTCCCACAGCAGCCCCCATGCAGGTAGACCCCCAACACCATGATCCTTTGCCACCAGGAGCCTCCTGATCAGAATTGATGCTTGTGAGCGGGGAATATGAACGGGTTCCCTGCAGCCATGTCCTGGCTCGTAGTCACCCAGCAGCTTGCAGCTGGGTCCAGTTTTGAGCCCTGTCACTGAGATGGCAGAGGTGGAACCACCCAGCTCTTCCTGACAGGAGCAGGCCCTGGCCCATGTTATGTGCAAACCCTCAAAATCTCAGTCAAAAATAATCAAAATGTCCTCAGACGCTGCCTGGAGAAGGAGAAGAAAGAGAAGGGTGGGAAAAACCCTCTTCCCACTGCAGCAGCTGTGGAGAGCGGTGCCACGGGTGCTCCCTGGGCCGGGTGGGCAGAGGGACGCCCGCCCCATGGCTGGCACTCTCATGGTGCCAGCAGCCTCGGCTTTGGCTCTCATGTGGCGATTCCCCCTGTGTGGAAAACAGCAACTGGCCAAGCAAGTGAGCTCGGAGGCCTGTCTGCAGAACCGCTGTAGAAAACTAAGAGGAGACATGTAAACAGCTTGGCTTCTCTAATTGCTTGAATTACGCCCCACATTCCCTGTCTGAGGTGGATGTACAAGTGGGCAGAAACCTAGAAAAGTGCTTTCCCTGGGTGGGCAGAAAGGAGGGTGGCGGCAGCGCTTCCTCCCCTGGCTAACGCTGTGCTGTCGCTCTGTTTCTCTTGCAGGGACCTGCCACATCGGCTGGGCCTACTACTGCACGGGCGGGGGCGCGGCGGCGGCCATGCTGGTGTGCACCTGGCTGGCCTGCTTCTCGGGCAAGAAGCAGAAGCAGTACCCCTACTGAGCCCGCCCCGGAACACGGGCGCTGCCAGACGCCCGAGGGGCTTGCCGACGTCTTCTGGATAATGACAATGAACATGAAATTTTTAAGTGCTTTCTCTCTGGAGTGGGAGTGGGGTGGGACAGTGGGTGGCCCCAGGGAGGGCAGGGAGGTGAATGTGGTGCAAAGTCACCTGGCTGGGCTGGACAGGGATGGGCTTTCTCACCTCAGCGCGCCCGTGGTCTGCTCCACAAAAATATAAGCAAGGAAAACTCCGCTTTGGCAAATGGTGAAATTCTGTGTGCACCGATTAATTGAGGGGTGGGTGAGGGGACGGCGGTGCCAGGGGTCTGGGGTGGCGCCCGGCAGCCCCTCAGCACGGCGCTCCCGAAAGCACACATGCACGCACAGATGTTGACCATGGCACAAAATGAGTAGAGAGGAAACTTTTTTTGGCATAATTCTTCTTTCTTTTCCTTTTTTTTTTACTTCTCTCTGGTGGTTTAAAATTCAGTGTTGCAACACTTTTTAATCTATACATTAAACTTAATAAAAGGACCAATAAGCCACTTTCTCAGTATTTTGTATATTCTCTACACATTTTTCTTCCCCAAACATTTAGCCACTGCTTATTCAGCCCTATATAACTTTTATTGAGCCTCTGTGTTTTCAGCATTATTACAAAAATGCAACATAATTACTTGGCATATGTAGCCTTTCCCTATAGTACTTTTTTGAAGTGCAGTAAATGGACGTTTTTCTGTCCATTGGAAGTTCCACTCACAGTACTGTAGAGCTCTGTTGGTTACGTACGACTAACAGGAAACTTCTTCCAGACATAGATTTCTGTTGCTGTTACGTTTAGCTCATTGATGTTGTATTGTGCTGTACCATGTTTATTATTTCAATATTCATTTTTGTAAAAAATATATATATAATATGTGCTATTTTATGTTTGTATTTGAAAAATCTCTGTAAATAAATTTTTCCTTGATCAATATTTGCAATGCCTGGTTGTGTCACTAGATGAAAAATTTCCTTTCCCAGATTCCCATTGGAAAAATCCTTAGAAATAACCATGACTTTTATAACCATGCTGTATCCTTTTTCCCTGTAAAACACATACACTTAGGGTTCGGTTACATTGCCTGAAGATAGACATCTATTGCCACTGGAGGCATTCTAGCATATCCCACGTTTTTGCCTCATGCTGTCAAGTGTTCTGCAGGAGGTCAGGGAGACCTTCCCCATTCTGGCCTGGCTGCTGCAGACTCAGCGTATCACACAGTGCTGCATATCCCTGTTTAGGTGACTGAAACAAGCCCTTACTTTCTTAATAGCATCAAGACTGATCAAACACCTACCCGGCAGTATACCTTGCACAAGGCACTTGCACTGTACACACAAAACTCAAAAACAATCTTTTATTCTCTTTAAGAAAAACGATGTAAACTTAGAGCATGGGAACTTGTAAGGGGTTTTCAATCACTACATTAACTGATGTTATTCCCTTTCAAATTTGTTTTTCTGCTCTTGTTTTCTCAATATGATATTTCTGTCATGTATTTCTAAGTTACCGTCTGTGTTCTAGTTGTAGGTCTGCTGGTTAATAACACTTGTAGCTGTTGCAACTCTGGTTGTGTAGTTGCTTTGTACATTACGCTGGGCAGCTTTTTGGAGGTACGTGGTAATAGCAACGTCAGTTTACAGTGATCAATGCTGATATCGCTGAACTGAATTTTATCGAGTTTCATTAAAGGGTAAGCACTATTTATTTGCTTTATGGTGCTCTGCAGTGAAAACAAAATTGTACCTTACCGCTCCCAGATTAGCCCATAATAGCCCTATCGCATCCGACTGCACTTCTGCTGAGAAGAAAACCAACCATGCTGTGGGGGCTTGCCTCCCTGCACGCTCTTTCAGTGACACCAGCAGCAGTGAGACATGTAGCTCTTCCCTCCTGCTTCCAGGTTTCAGGGCTCATCTGTTCTCGTGAGTGCTCAGGACCATACCCAAACCTGCTACATGAGGTCAGTGGCATTCTATATACCCTCACAGTAAGTATGAATATGCCTGTTAGTGTAGTGGACTGCCACTTTATTAAAACCCAAGGAGATATAAAGACAACTTTGGCTGTGGTTCCCTTGGCTCCTGTAAGATCTTTGGTAGGTATCTCAATAGAAAAATTCTGCCTTTGTACAGTATGCGACTGCAGAAACATGCCTTTTCTTCCACTGAAACTGCAGTTTGCTATACAAAGTTTCAGTGACTTGGACATAAAAATGTAAGTGTTATTACTCTAAATTTGGCCCTCTCTAGATTATATCCTGGCCCATGCATCATGGAGAACATTTTGACTTTTTTTAGATCTTCCTGTGCTCAGATTTGAGCTTGACTTATCATGGCAAACTGGAACTACGCAATCACTTCATGAAGAAAATTAGTTTTTGTTACAATACAATACAATTATAGCATGACTGACTTTCTCTGAATTTGTACACAATCTCCTTTTTTTAATTTGGAATTGAATAAAATGCCAATTTTTAATAATCAAGCCAATGAGACATGCTGCACCTGCTTTGTAGCTGTTTATCATATAGCCTTCAGCTGCTGTGATATGAATAAACCAATCACAGCTTAATTAGGTTTGTCCATATTTGTGCATTTTGAGTCTGATATCCATTTTGCACTAGAATATAAATACCATTTATTATCACGGTTATCAAGCCTCAGAGCTACAAACTCTAATAACTTCAAACTGGGCAAAAGATTGCTTTCAATTTCACAGTATGAAGTGTCAATGAAATATTTACGATATTTACTATGTTTAATTTTCCATTTATTTATTCTTGAAGATGAGGAGCTTGGCCTTGCATTTGTGAAAATAAAAGATGTAAGCTTGCACAAGCTCCTAGGTCACTGAATTCTGTCCCTGCCATTGCTGGCAATCGTATCACATAATCCTGTTCATAAATTTATCAACCTCTATTTTAAAACTATTTAAGTAGTTTTCCCCCTACAACTACATTGGGAAATTTATTCTAAAATCTCACTCTTTGGGTGATTACACACTTCCTAAGTCCAGATCACCCTGTATTCTGGAGCTGTCTGGCAACAGAGATGTCCGAAGTCGCAGTCCACTTCCAACAAATACTTTGTGAGCAGCAAGTTTCATCCATCACTCCTAACTAACACAGGAGCTATATAGAAACAAATAGTATGGTCACAGACTACTGTTCATTATCAGAAGCTAGCTTAGGACCACAGGATAATTCAGGTGGGAAGGGACCTCAGGAGGCCTGTAGTCGAGCCTCCTGCCCAAGGCAGGGTCAGTCATGAGGCCACAACATGTTGTTCAGGGTTTTATCTCATCTGGCCTTGAAAACCTCCAAAGATGGAGATGCACAACACCTCTGGGCAGCCTGTGCCACTGCCTGACTCTCCTTATGGGGAAACAGCTTTCCTTATAGCTGATCTTGTTTCAGCTAATGACCACTCTCTCTCATCATCCCACCAAGAATCACTGAGAAGAGCTCATCTCCACCTTCTGTCACCTCCCCATAGGTACTGGGTGGCTGCTATTGGGTTATCATCCCCCCCACAAGCTATCTTTTCACCAGGCTGAATAAGCCCCGATCCTTGGCCTCCCTCTATAGGACAAGTGCTCCAGCCCCCAACCAACTTGGTGACTTCTGCTGGACCAGCTGCTGTTTGTCAATGTCTTTCTTAGACCAGGGGCCCCAAAATGGGATGTGGTACCCACATGTGGTCTAACAAGTTCTGATTAGAGGAGGACAATCACTTGCTTCCATATACTGGCTCTGCTCCTGTCAATGCAGGCCAGGAGGCTGTTGCCCATCATTGCTGCCAGGTCATGCTCTGTCCCCAGGCCCCCAGGTCCTTTCTGCAGAGCTACTCCCCAGCCAGGCAGCCCCCAGCCTACATCAGTGCAGGGGCTTCTTCCTTCACAGGTGAAGAACTTGTCATTTGTCCTTTTGAATTTCATAAGGTTCCTGTTGTCCTGCTCCTCCAGCCTGTCTCAGTCCCTCTGGATGGGAGCCCTACCCCTTGGTATATTGACTCATTCCTCCAACTTGGTGTCATGTGCAAACTTGATGAGAGCATACTCCTCCACCTCTTCCAGGTCACTGATTAAGCTATTAAACAGGACAGGTCCCAGGACAGACCTGCAATACCCCACTTACAAGCACCCAGGTAGGGTCTGACCAGGAACCATGACCGTCTGAGCCTCGTCATCCGACCAGGCTTTTATCCATCTGGTTGCCTACCCATCCAGAACCATAATGTCTCAACATGGGTGCAAAAACCCTGTGGGAGCATGTGTCAAAAGCCTTGCTAAAATCCATGCAAACGACAACCACTGCTCTTCCCTCAATCACAAATCAGTCATTTTACCATGGAAGGCCACTGGGTAGGTCAGGCACTGTTTGTTCTTGATAAATGCATGCTGACTGCTCCCAGTCACTGAAATGAAGTTATATGGGGCTACCAATGGAAATAAAGTGTTGGGATCCTGTTGCCTTTGTGCGCTTAACTTTTGCTTTGCATGGCTAAATGCAGAAAAAATGGTCATCAACAAATCTAGAAATATGAAAGGCAGGAAAAAATTGAGCTCTAGAAGTTGGAAACTTACTTCCTATATAAATTTGAGTGAATCAAGTGGACGTGGAAGAACTTGGTGCAATACTTCATTTACATAAGCTTGGTCTTTGGGAATGACTTGAGGAGAACACATTTTGAGTAGGAAATTCTCCCACCCAAGCCCCAGAGAGCTGGGGACTTTCTTTGCCTATGCAGCGTAGTGTGCAGTGCCAAGACTCTTGTCCTGAGCACTAACACAGTATTTCCTGAGAGGGAAATTGCAAATTCTGTCATTCAAGCATTAAGTCAGGGAGAAGCTTTTCTGCATAAATATGAGGCATGTGAAGACCCTGTCTGGAGTTTGAGAGGGCATTATGCTCTCTCTGTAAAAAGAAGCCATTACTTTTCAAGACTTAACATGCTAACAAATTACTCAAATTTTCACTACATGCTGTAGTGTTTGCTCCCTCCCCAAAATACAAATATATGT